AGGTCGACCCTAAAAATGTCACACCTCACCCTACCTCACTGATTTCCGTCTCCAGCGGTAAGGGTGCTCACTAAGGGCTTTCAAGTGCGGAGCTAACACTCAAAAAACTTCTAATGAAAAGGCCGTGCGTGACCGGCCTGAAGCAGTTGTCCCTTGGGCTCTACCGTCACTCTCCCAGGTCTCTAACACCAACACTAATCTATCTTCCTTTTCAGGTCCCTCAAGACACAACCTTCCACGGTGTAAGCAGCCGGGAAGTGACAACCGCCCACACACCCGTAACGACACACGAGACCAAATTGGTCAAAATCAAATCCTTCCGAGAAAGTAATAATTTTCAATATATATATAAAGAAACTTGATCAAATCAGTGCAATAATCAAACAATCAATAGAGAGATCAATTATTATTGGGTAAAAAAAATAGGATGTATGAATAATCTGTTATTCTTTCTACAACATGTCTATCAATCAAATTTTAAGATTATACAAACAAATTCAAAATCTAATACATACTTTTTGCTTCATCTATCTATCTATCAATGTGTGTTTATTATTTTCAATAAGTTATAAAAGTTTAAATAATCATTTAGATATAAGTTAATGTTTATCACAAGTCAATTGATAAGAAGTTTTATCTTTCTTCCTTTTATGAAATTAATCCGTTTTTACGTATTTTTAGTTAGTGATAAATAGATAGATAAATAGATAGATAGATGGATATTTGAATAAGGAGAGATAGGTAATAAAAATTCTAGTTTTATCTTTTTGTAAAGTTGTGAAATCAAAATAAATATTGATTTATATAATATGAAACATTTTACTCATAAAAAAATAAAAAAAGAAACTTTTATATGAGGATATTTTTTGTTTCTTATTGAAACCATAAATCTATCAAAGCTAGACCACCCTTAAAAAACCTCGAAGCACTGTCATGGTATAAGGACTCATCATTTGTGCGTATACACAACCGTGTTGGTCTTATATGCGTGAACGTTTAACCATTGGACAAATGAGCTGGCTGGTATCCAACGGTGTTCATGTTCACGGACTTGCGCAACCTTATACAATGCCTTCGGTAATTACTGTCTACACCCGAACAGGATTGAACTCCACTGGTCACAACTTCTCACTAGAACTCGGAGAAGATTCCCCACGGAGCTAGTCACTAGTGAGCACACATACATTCAGTCAGTCAGATGCAACGTAGAACTTCGTATGTAAGTACATCAGTTCATGTTGCCATACCACATCAGCACAGAGATGTAATTGTCAATTCAAATCCAATAGTAGAAGAGGTGGTAAAGGTATTAGAAGTAATCAAAGAGGTTAGGATTAGAAGATATTATTCAAGAAGTATGATTCAGTGAGAAAAGTTTAGAAATTCGAAACTAGAGGTGTTGAAGAACCCAGAAGATTAGGATTTGAGAGAACACAAAGAATGGATGCACTTGCGCCATTGCAAACAGTTTTGAGCCATGTCATTCAGGGTCTCTAACCATCGATTATTATCATCTCGCGGACCACAACTAGCGACATGACTCAGTCCACTTGTCAGTAACTTCATGGATTTCTGCCATGTTTTGGTTTGGCCGCCTGCAGCTATCCTCCAACCTACTCCTACACTACAAAACATAGCTCGTCGAGGCAGTCGGTGGTTAGGCATACGTAGCACATGTCCCAACCACCTTAACTGATGAAGTTTCATTACTTCATCTATTGATCTGCCATTCTTATCTAACACCCGTTTCCTAATAACAGCGTTGCTCATTCGGGTGTCCCACGATATACAAGCAATGCTTCGAAGATACCTATGATCGAAAACCAGTTACCTACGAATATCTTCTACTCTTACTGGCCATGTTTCACAGATACATTACATAATAGGATTGTAGAGATTGTTAAGTAACTCAGTGAAATCACGAATCCATCAAACTTAGTGTAGATTTTAAAAAAAGTTTTATTTCTGATAAAATTTTTAAAGGAAAATTGATTTAAGATATTTTGTTTTCTTTTAAAAGAAAGCGCTATTTTTTTTCTATTGCAACATAAAATCCCATTGATAAACAACACTTTCAAAGTTAATGGGTTTTATTTGCATGGAATAGTTTACAGTTTGTTTATGTAATTTTTATATAGTTAGTTCTTTTATGATCAGTTTATATTTCAATAATAAACTGTTATTATATATAAGTGTATTGTTTTTTCGCCATATTACGGTACTCAATTTATAATTATCCTGAACATAACTGCTACCTTGTCGTGGTGGTCGGGCTTGCTTATCATGATGACGTAACCGAGCTATACTGGCTGGAAAATATGTTTCTGTAGGTCCTACCATGCCGGGCAGGTCGACTGGAGAACAATGAGACTAAAGACAGCTACCCAAAGTCTGAGGGCGCATTCGTACTGCTGACTGTAGAGCGGTGTGACAGCAGTAAGATAATTCCCTCGGACAACCAGCATCTGTAGCGATGCTGCCTTCTCACAAGGAAGCAAGGGGTTAGAAAAGGTCAACCTCACCTTACCTCACGGATTTCCTACTCCGACGGTAAGGTCTTTTAAACAAGAGTGGAGCTAATACTCTAAGAACCTCTCATATAAAGGTCGTGCATGACCGGCTTCAAGCAGTTGTCCCTTGGACTCTACGGTCACACTCCCAGTTCCCTAAGATCAACGCTAATCTACAACATCAAGAATAATAACTCATTATTTCTAAATAATAGACATTTTCTCACATAAAAAAAGTTGAACTTAAGTTTCACAAAAAAAGAAAGATAAAGATAATGAGAAGTACAGATTATCATTGGAGAGAACACAAATAATGGATGCATATCTGCGCCATTACAAACAATTTTCAGCCATGTCATTTAAAGTCTTTAACCATCCGTTACTATTGTCTCGTAGACCTCAACCAGGTAGGTAGTTTACACCTACTAACATGGCCTAGTATACTTGTCAGTGACTTTATGCATTTGTGCTATGTTTTGGTCTGTTCGACTTTAGCTTTCTTCCAGTCTACTCCTACATCGCACGTCGGGACAGTCGGTGGTTGGGCATACATAACACATGTCCCAACAAACTCAGATGATCACAATTCACTACCTTATCTATTGATTTGCCATTATTACCTAGCACATTGAACATTAATTAACTTGGTCTGAGAATGGTTTTAATAAAAAAATTCAACTGAAATCAGATAATCACTGGAAATAATACATGGTTATTACGTAATTAAAAGCTTGATAGGTAATTAACGCCAAAAAACTTTCAAATAGTTTCTTTTTTAATGATTTTGACAAAAATCTTTGAATACTACTATCAAAAGGGAGTTACATTTGCAAATTTACGAAGCCGATTATTAAAGTAGAAATATGATATGTTTTATAAAAGTTTTGTTGTATTTCGAAAACTTTGTAAAATCACTTCTTTCAAATTCTAATCTTCTGAATTCATCATCATCTCTATCTTTCTCTTTGTAAAGTTATCTCACTGAATTATACTTCTCGAATTAAAACCTTCAAATCCTAATCTTCTACATTACTGCTAATACTTCTACTATCGCTACCACTATGTGATTTGAACTGACAGTTGCATTTCTGTGCTAATACGGTATGGCAACATGAACTGATGTACGTACGTACGAAGTTCTACGTTGTAACTGACTAACTGACTGACTGAGTTTCATGATAGAAAGACAGACAGATACAACGCAGAACTTCGTACGTAGGTACATCAGTTCAGGTTGCCATACCATATCAGCACAGAGACTCAACTGTCAGTTCAAATCCAGTAGTGATAGCAATAACAGAAGTATTAGCAGTAATGGAGAAGATTAGGGAGCGAAGATATGATTCGAGAAGTGTAATTCAGTGAGACAACTTTAGAAGGAGAAAGATAGAGATGATGAGAAATTCAGAAGGTTAGAATTAAAGAGAACACAAAGAGTGGATGCACCTGCGCCATTGCAAACGATTCTGAGCCATGTCATTCAAGGTCTCTAACCATTGATGACTTTCGTCTCGCGGACCTCAACAAGGTAGCCTACATCTACGAACAAGACTTAGTGCACTTGTCAGTAACTTCATGGATTTCTGCCATGTTTTGGTCTGGCCGCCCCCACCTTTCTTCCAATCTACTCCTGCACCACAAAACATAGCTCGGAGGTAAATATAAAAAAAATGGTGATTTACTAGCTGATAATTTATGAGTATATGAGGTAAAAGGTCAGAGATTAGTTCTAAGTGATAAAATGCTTGACTTTCAAGACCAAACCAAGAAAAATAACATTTAAATTCGTGCCTTAGAATATATATATATATATATATATATATATATATATATATATATATAATTTAATTTGTATTAAAGCATATGATAAGTCAACATATTTTTGTCTTCAAGAAAGAACCAAAGCAGTTTTTTTTAACATTTGAACAGTACATAAGTTTTTAAGAAGATTTACAATAAATATGAGATTCATCATTCTGAACATCTATTTCCGTAACTTTTAAAAAAGAACCTACAATTTCAAGGTGACACAGATACATAAGTAAAGTTGACGGGATTCTACGATGTATGGAATTAGTTATAACAAATCCAGCATTAAACAAAAGGCTACAATTTTATAAAAAATCTGAGTACAAAAATATTATTCCAAGTGTTAAAAATATATATGACAAAATTAATTTTGGTTTAAAACGTTTTTTAAGAAACAATTTAAAAGCAATACCACAAAATACATATATAAAATGGAAACCACATCAACTAAGATCGGAGATTTATACTTCATTTCAAAAGTGGTATAAGTCATAGTTTGAAAAAAAAGAATAAAACGTTACGCCTTAGTACAGATGAATATGAAAATTCGTTTACACCTCAGTATTGTACAGTATTCAAATGTAACTATCCAATCTAAAGTTACATAACAAACTATTCAGTAATCAGTCTTAACTATGTTTACCATGTTCTAATTCTAAGATTTAAAAAAAAGAAACTTACCCATCAATATAAAACAACGAGATCAAATGGAAGACAGAAGACGCAACGAATAGTGAGATAATAGCAAGTCCATAAACAATTGCCGCCACCGATTTTGAATAAGTATCTGCTTTTGAACATAGTCTAATCATTCCAACAACACCAAGTGGTACACAAGGAACATGTGAAATGCAATTAGCTAACTGTTCAACTGTTGTTGGACGATAAGGTTTGCCAGGTTGAGCTGGAGAATTTTTCCATCTGTTATTAAAAATTGGAAGCAATGAAAACATGGTCTACATCAACAAATATGTTAAGTTTTAAGTACTACAAAACCTATACAGTTAAGTCATATTTTAAATTACATAGCATTAGCTAATGATATGATTCTCAACGAGATAAAATAATGTGCTACAGTAAACGTTTCTGACATTTTGTAAAGTTGTGTAGGCTTCAGCAAAAACACAGTGGCCGATAATAGAGAGTTTGCTTACTTTAGTAATAGTATTTTAAGTAACAATACATTTAGCAGTCAGAATGAACCGACTGTTGGCGGAGATAGTTAAGAAAAAAAAATGCAACCTTTAAAAATTTAACTGAGACAATACATATATCTGAAAAATAATTTAGGCTTTTCGGAACTGGTGATAGATTCTACTGAGAAACTAAATTGATAAACTATTTCACGTCACCTTATTTGTGAAGCGTTGAAATAATGACTACATATTTTTATTTTTATCCAACCTATTGTGTTTAGATCTTTAGGAATTTGAAACGCACACGGATCAGATAAAAGAATTCTTTTAAGACATGTACCTACTACATATGTCAAAGGAATTTTAACCCACTATGCCTACATGATTAGAGTATGGAAAATTTGGAAGCTGCTGACAGTTTTGAAGTAAAATTAATAGTTCATAAAGATACTTTATGTTGGTTTGAATTTTGTAAAACCAGTCCGACATACTGTAATCATAGATTAATGTCCAACAATTACGCAGAATGACCCAAAGTCAATATTACCGTATTAGAAGCATCACATGTACATCATCTTTTAAATCTTAAATATCATTTTCGTTAAAATAGATATTTTCTACGATACTCTTTAATATAACCTTGGATAGTTTACTTTCCCAAGATTTATGGCAGGACTGTTAATAAAAAAACGCAAACAAGTACGCTAAACTCAGTTGTTTTATACATTTGTTTGTGTATAAGTGTTCACGAAACTTTGATTCTTGGAGTAAATCTTAATAGCTGGTGATAGTTAAAGAGAATGACTTCTGATACCGATAGTACCTACAGAAAGAGATGTTGATTCACATTTCATAACATACAGACCCATAAACTCGAAGGTTTCAAAGGAGTGAGTAAAAAATCCGAATCATAATTCTGGGTTCGGAAATGTAAAAAACATACATGTAGGTGGGAAAATATGATAAACAATTTTATGATGAAAATTCATTAACTCTAACATAAATGATTTTAAAAAATCTGTAACAACCTCCAAGATCTCCCCATATTGCACATACGAACTTCATATGGCAACTAGGCGGACATAGGTAAGCCGCTTCATAACTTGCACCTCATTTACCAAACCTTGAAATTTCAAATTCAAAGTCCAATATATTTTGAACGGGCTATTATCAACGGATTGACTTCTTTTCGCTCAATTCTTGTTTTTTTCAATACATTTCAAGGTATTTGGTGATTTCCATGGGATAGAATCACACCACTCTACCGAACTAATTTAAGTCATTCTGTAGTTATTTATAAAAATTCGTCCCGTGATTTGAGCTAGTTTCAGTACCTATTATATGTCTGATATCCAATATTTAATATATATTTTTAATGAACCATTAAAAACCTGATGACTTCTTTGCATTTGATTCTCGGTAGGATTCCAGGTATTTAGTAGTATCGAATGGATGAACGTCTAGTCACTCGACGGCCTAATTCTAGTCAGTTGGCAGTTGTTTGCGAGTTTGTTGATTTGAATGAGTACGCTCCTTTTTCATGAAAGCACGGCTTCCGGATACCAGCAGCTCTCATGTTACCAGACTGGAGATCAGTTAGTTGCAATGCTGCGAGTAATAAGGAAAAAGATTTAATGCGAACAATATTTCAGAACTAAGTAAATAAATGGATATTTCGTTTTCTAAATGGTAGTAAAGATTAAGTGAGAGGACTGAAGTGTAAATGAGGAAAAGGGAACAGGGACTATAAGCTTTATATTGATCCAAAGCGATGGCATTATTAACAACTAGCAAGCCTTACGACATAAACCAGTCACTGCTGGTCCAAAAGGGATGTGATATTAGTACGTATGTATGTCATATATATTACTATCTAAAGATTTTATAGATAAGATGTCCAGTTATTAAGTGTGAGAATTGCTGTCAGTCGAATAGTAGGTATCTGACTGAAGAGAATAAAGACAAATAGTGTTAATATCCTATAAGCAAGGCGATAAATGAGTAAGAAAGCAAAGTGTTTGAATGTTAGTAAATTGGGGCGATAAAAATTTATGAAACTAGTAATCCATTAAGCAAAAGGAACTCACAGATATACAGGAAGTTTGAATTCCTTGTAATTGACAGCTGCTGGGCAGCACCAAGAGGCTTTTCAATTAATCTGTCTACTAGAAATAAAAACTAGAAATGCTGTAAAAGATAAGAAGATAATGATGCGAGTTTGAATTTTGAGGAAACTCTGAATGTTGCTGGTAACACCTGAAGGCGTGACCTACTACTGTCAATAGGAGTAGAGAAATATGTCTATCGTTTCGTGATACCTGCAGGAGTGGTAATGCGCGTGCAATATATTCATGCTCCGTTACTAGTTCCTTAGGTTAATCTAAATATTTAGTGCCTTGGAATATGGTGTTAGTTCGAAGAATAGTCGATAAATCTAGTTAGAGTCAAACAACAGTGTTACCACTTTCTTGAGCATGGTGATTATGTCGCAGATAAGGAAAGAAGTTGATAGTCCGTTCCATAACATACTGTATCGTGTTTTGCCATTAGTAGTGTATTTGCTTTGTTTCTGAGTCTGTAGACAGGGTCATGGTTCATAATTAAGAGGGATATTTCAAACAGATGGCTATATATTATTAAATAGAGGCGCATTAAGTTGTTTTTCAACCGACGGCACCGCGAACGCTCTAGGGAAAAATGTTTGCGTGTTTCTGCGTAGTTACGAGTACACGCACATATTAGCAGTCTCAGTGTGAAATTTCTTAGGACATTTTTTTACTTGTATCTTGTCTGCGATATTCATGTTTGGAAAGATATGTCAGCAGATTCAGGGGATCCTTATACATGTAGTGCATAACCTGGACCTCAAAAACCAAATCCGCAACGCCGAGACCAGGTTTTAATGAGTTACGTGTTTTAACAGCTCTGGTCTTATTTCTTTCCCCATCACACTACTATTGAGGTCATACATACAGGTCCGTAAATGTCAACGTTTGCCGTAGGCCACTATTTAGTTTCTGGGATGATATTTGCAATCTTTCAGGCATTAAGGTAGCATTCTGTAGGGATTGACATGTCCAGTGGTTTAAGAAGTATTGAAGAAAGACGAGTTTCAGTCTACTTACCGCCTAAAAAATATTCAAGACATTGAAGTTTTCATTGGTAATTTCACAGGAAGGTTTCAAGATCGGCTTTGACTCAATTAATGGATTTTCGTCTGATTATTCAAGCACAATACTCTTCTCAAAACAGCTCTGTGATACTTTCAAGGTCTTAATACACTGAAAAGCTGCCCTCCCTACACTCACTTTAGAGAACCTAAGTTTATTTCGAGGGGTTTCGATCAGTAAAAAAGAATGAGTATTCACCTCAACAGGCCGATTTCCTGTGTAGTTGACTTCAATTCCTCATCAACAAATATTTCTGTCGTCGTTACTAAAGAAGAGAACTCACTAAGGTTGTGTAATCTGGTAGCATGTCTTAAAACAAGTTTTGGAATAGGATCTGGCATGTGTGGTTTCCATTAAATTGTGGGTAAGTCATTCAGTTAAGCGTAAGTTCATTTAGACTGTCCTTAGAATTATTAATGATGAAATTACTGGAGTTTAATTCAAAGCTGTTTGGGCTGATAGGAATGCGCTGACACTTATTGCAAGTGCCTAGTGGTTGCCCACTCTGAGAATACTCATCTGGGTCAAGTAATAGAGATCTGCTTCACTGGGCATTCGACTGAGGGTAGACTTACTGTCAATCTGTAGGTTGCTGTAAAGTGTACTCGTATGTAGGTTGGCTAAATGTTTAAGACCAGCCACAGTTTTAGTGGGTGCTCACAGAAGCCTGGGAAGCAGTGTATGGTGTTATTTTACTCAGTTTGTAGTTGGTTGTATATACCATCTATGAACTAAGGGTTTGAAGACAAGGACTACAGTTATGAGATATAAATAAAATAGAACAGCGTTCGGAAATCAAAAGTCTGCTTAAATATACACTTGAATTTCTGTGTATGGACAGGAAAGAAAACAGATAATTCAAGTGAAAATATGTTACAAACTTCAAAGCACGCGCTTACCGAGAGTTTAAATGTTTCAATCTGGTGTCTAAAACTGGAAGGAGGTCATCAAATACACTCTATATAATTAATTATAAAAGTTATTTTATTGGTAGTAAAAATTGGGTGAGAGGACAGGTGTGTAAATGGAGATAAGATGTGAGATTGAATAAATTTGTGATCTGAGAAAATCACAATGGTATCAACTAGCAAGTTTAGAGATGTATAGCATGTAGATTTATTTCGACAGTGGCCGTCCCAATTGTTTCCAG